CTCTCTAAGCTCGGACCGAAAATGGCATTTATTCTAATTTGATTGTATTTGATTGTTCCGTGTTATTTGTCGTGTTACATAACACATTACATTAAACATTGTTGCATTTGCTATTTGTCTTATCTTACACGTGCCAGTGCATCTACGTAATTTATAGATACGGGTCTTTCCTCGGTGGACGAGGCTTCGTGTTCATCAACGTGTACTAACATCGCGAGCAACAATGACGCCGTGCCTCATGTTCCACAAGAGCTGAGTGAAGAGGATGAAAGATATGCAGCAGCAAATTTGAACGAGACCGACGAAACGAAAGAGAACGCTGTCGCGGAGATCAAACGCTGGATCGAGGACGAACTGCGCATACGAATTGGTAAAAATACTCGCCTTCGGCTCGTGCGTCCACTCCGCACCCGTGTCCAATTCTCAACTTCCCGCACTTATTGTTACACAAATAACTATTGTAATACCTGATTTAGCACTGCTTCAATTATAGCCTTTTAGTTAAAGGGACTCTTTAATGTGTACACAGATGACTTTTTTATCCTGCGATTTTTGCGAGTATGCAAGTTTAATCTTGAAAAAACTAAGATGAGGATACAAAATTATTACAAGCTACAATCCACATTACCAGAATGGTTCAAGAATAGAGATCCGTTTCGACCAGAACTACAAGAACTGCTTGATTTGGGGTAACGAACAGTATTTCGGATAATTAATCTAATTTTGTTTTTTATTATTTTTTAATCTGCTTTATCTATTTCGGATACATAACAGAACCCTTTACTAATTGCAGCTTCAATTTTAAAAATAACATCTTGCATAAAATTAAAGATGAATTATTGATAAATTTTCTTATTTTGTTTATATATTCTAACTATTACTATATTCTAACAATAAGAAGAATATTTTATTAAAAAATTTCGAAAATATTAAATGCATTATTAAATTAAAATAAATTTTGATTTTTTTGAAGGATTCTGAAATATTTTATAAATTTTTAGAATATGTTTGCCTCTGCGGAAGCCAGATAGTCAAGGAAGGTTGGTAGTTATAATCCGCAGTAATTTACATGATCCGAGAAGATACCAAATATCGGACATATTTAAGGTAAAATATTGAAATAATATAATGTTCGAACAATTTATGGCCAATTGTCGTCGCGATGAAGTATTTCTAACTATTAATCATTAATTATTTCTTCATGGGCGATCTTTTTAGATGTCTCTGATAGCGATGGAAGTGGCAATAAAATATTATCCCGCAGCATCAGTGTACGGCTGCGTGATGTTAATAGACGTAGCCAATCCAACACTGCAACATATTTTTCAACTACAACCCTATATATTAATGAATATAGTCCACTCGTGGCAAAGCTGCTATCCTATGAGATTTCAGAAAATTAACATATTTAATGTTCCAACATTTTTCAATGTTGTTGTAAATATTCTGAAATCGTTTATGACGGAAAAAATAAAAAATAGATTTCACACATATTCACACTCGCTCGACGACTGTTTTAAAGATATTTCTGCTGAAATTTTACCCATCGAATATGACGGCACTGATGGTACAATCCAGGAATTAAAAGGTAATATTGATAAATTAGAACGCGGAATAAAGACGCTCTTAGTGCACGATAAAAGATGTTATTAAGCAATTATTGCCGAGAAAAAGGGATAAACTTCTCTCAGTTAAGACGCGAGCAATCATGTAAGCGATAATCGCTAAATCCTAAGAGTTTTTCAGATTCTAAAATATATATTAAGCACGTGTTCAGATTTGCATAATTGAACGTATGTAATATAAATTAATACATTTACTTTTGCAGATTATTGGAAGAAACTAATCGAAGAAAATTGCGGCTGGCTTAAAAATGATAATGACAGAATTGAATAAAACATTTCGAAGCAGTAGCTTCAAAATTGGAAGAAAACGTTTGTTCTTTGCGCACACTTCAATGCATTTGTTATCGAACTAATTATACATCGTAATTATTAATTGCTCGTTGCGGGTCAAAATGCGCTTTTAATTCGCATAGTATGTATATATAATATCGAACGCGTATCCCGCGCTTATAACTATCATCACGACGGTAAAGTCACTGAAATGACAACATCAGTTATTAATAAAGATAAAATGTTACTCGTTGCAGAAATAAGTTAATTTTTTTATGCGACAAGCATTAAAGTATCGCGTGCAATTTTTTTATCGGGAAAGATTTACCGCTAATTTTTATAAAAGTCTAATAATAGTAGAATATGTACGGTATAATTTTGTAGCACATTTGGTTTTATTTTACCAAATAAAGGTGTTTATACCAGGCTGTACGTAAATTTTCTCTTCACCGCAGAAAGTAAATCGTTCTTTTTCTCTTTCGTTAAGCAAAATATTCTTGCAGGAAGCGTAATACAGAAGAATGTATGTAAGATTCATAAAAATTTTCCATAACCTTAAGTTATGTGAATACACAGTAAAAAATCGTGCGTCCAAATGTTAAAATTTTCTTGTGTTACCAAGATTTGACTATTATTTCAATGTAAAATTAACATACAACAGCTATGTTATTATTTTCGTAACATTTTCATGTGTTATATTAATGTCAACGTGATAACTTAACGCTTTATGTATGTCATTTAGAAATTGAATATTATTTTGAGTTCTTTTAACATAATTATTTTAAAAAATCAACACGCCTTAAAGTTATTTTAACATAAACAAAAGTTAAAGTAAATCTTCAAATAATCGTAAACTTTGACATACAAAATAATCAAATTTACTACAATCAAATGTTCAAAACAACATTTCTCTTAAGTTGAAATAACTATCGTTTATTCAAATATGTTATATCGACATTTTTTACAAGTTATTTTTACATTATACTTAAAGTTAAAAGAACAAATATAAATGTAAAATATAGTGTCAATAAATTAACATTTCTAATTTGTCAACAAGTAACACACGATGAATGAGTTATTTTAACTCAAAATTTAGAGTGGACTTTTTGGGACATTTGAAAAATGTTACGATTAACATTTTATTTTTTACTGTGTAAGAAGAGAAACTCGTTAAGTGTAACTTGTTAATATTTTTAATTGTATTACTATTTTATGAAACTTTATATAGACAAAAGAGGACCCGCTTTTATCAGACATTGTTGCAATTGAATGTACTTTGGCTAAAATCGGCTTAAATTTTTCTAATAAAATTGATTTACACTTTCAATTTCAGCTAAAATTCCATCTGATAAAAATGGGTCAATCTGTAGAGGCCCTCCACCTGATTTCAATCAGCGGACCTTTTTTCTTTGAAAATGCTTTACTTTTATTTTTTTATTATCTATTAATTATATATTTTCTATACAATTTTACTAAAATAAACATGTAAAATCATAAAATACAATTTGAATTCTTATTTACTTACAATAATTTATATAAAATTACATAAAAATATTTGAAACACATATAAGATAAAATTGTATATATATATATATATATATAACATACGTATTTCATAAGTATGTATAGAGCATTTGCAGTAGGATGTAATTATAATTACATGTATATATGGGGCATTCCATGCCAAATCAACGACCATTCCCCCGACCATTTTTGATTTGGCTGAAAATTTTTTGTGTTTTTATACTAACAATAAATAAAAGTAGCTTCCATAATTTTTTTATTTTTATCTCTATCTATTACTTTTAAGTTATGGATTTTTTCAGAAAAATACAGTTTAAAATTTAAAATGCCTTTAAAACAAAAAAAGATATTGTAAAAAATGAAGGGATCCTTTTTTTCGTTTTTCAATGTACTTTTAGGATCGAAGAAAATGTCGAAAAAATTGTTAAAGGACAATATAACTTTTTTCAGGATTTTAGTAAAAAATTATTTGTTTTCCTCAATGCGACCGTTTTGATTTTGTTCAAAAAAATCACAAAAATACTAGATTTAGTTACAAAAATTTTAAGCCTGTTCGCGAAATCGCTGATTAATCCCGGCGATGAAAGCGGGATGAGAAGGACGCGCGTAGAAGGTTTATTAATTATTCTGTAATATAAAATGTAACTCAGAACACAGTCTGAGCCGTCTTTAGTACGAGAATAGATATTGAGACAGGATTTTTCTTTGCCAAACCCTTTCACCCGACGCGGCTTGGGTCAGAGCTGTCGGGGCTCAAAATGCAATTAATTAACGTAAATTGGGCGCCAGTTAATTTTCTCGAAATTAACAAAATTCTGAATTTACAATGGAATGGTTCGATTGGGTGACCCAGGAAACAGGAGATACCAAGAAGCGGAAAGTAATTGACGGAACTGAAGACTGTTACTTACGTTTGACGAGAATCAGTGTTCTTTATTTTCCTATGATTTGTCACAACTCTCGGAGATCGACTCTCCGTGCGATCTCTTTCGGCAATAATAATTCGACGACGCTTTTATAATTGACCCTCCGTGCGATCACTTGACAAGACTCAACGACGTGCGATCGCTTGACAAAACTCTACGAGGTTATCGACCTTCGCGCACGGTGTTCACACAGAGAGTGTTCAGTCGTGCTTTTCCGGGGGCCTCTTGTGGTGCGGCCGGTTTGGGAAATCGCCACCGGCGCGGCAAGGCCGACGCTCATTGGCTGCTGGACGATACATTGTTACCGAATTATCGACGCAGCCGTCGAGGTCTGTTCGGCATTTCGGCCGTACAAAGCAACCTCAGCGCTAAGTTTAATTCTAATGTTAGTTAAATATCGTCTTATTCTAACGCGAATCCCCGAGAGTTTAGACTGCGAGATGTTGAGTTCGGAATTTCCTGTCACAATATATGTTCCATGGAACACGAGGCGGCGATGATCGAACCATCGCAGGAGCGTCGAGCGCAATTCAATTGTCGCGGTTGAATTTGTTAATTAACTAGGCAACGAAAAAATCAATAAGTCACGCGAATCTCCTTGGAATAGTCAGTCCATCGCGCCCTTCTTCGCAAACGATCATTTATACTGTAAGGGAGGGCGTCAGGATTGCAGGTTAATTGACTAATAACGGGTCAACTCGATAAAACGCAATATATTTATTGAAAAGATCCGCGCGTTACTCTTGCGACTTGCTCGTACGTCGGTTATACAAGAAGTAGTTATTCGAACAGGGAGTGTCTCCCTCGCAAAGACTCACAACCAATCACCGCACGCATGCATCAGCCAATCACAGCACACATGCATCCACCAATCCGAACGCTCTAGGTGGCGCTAGGCGCGAGCGTACCTACGCGAGCGCCTCGTAAATAAGCGCGGGAAATTCAAACGGGATTTACGGCCTTAATCACCGTTTACAGTTCGGCCATTCCTGACGGGGCCTTCGACCTCGAAGGGTTGCAAATTATATAATTTATAATGTAATACAAAACATAAATCATAATACAGGAATGTAATGTCGAGTGTAGCTAAAATGTAATATAATATCGCAAAGTAACATAAATTGTCGTTCAATATAAATTAACATAAAATTTAAACTGTAAAAAATTTGAAGAAAAGAAAATTGAATAAAAATACTCGATTTTAGGTGATAAATGAATACAATAATCTTTAAGGTTTATTGACAGGTTTAATCCATGGTTTCATCCTGTCTGGAGACAAAATTGAATTATATGGTTTCTGTGAGATATTGAAACCTGGAATGTCTGTAATCACGTATCTATTTTTGTTAAGGACTTTGGCCACTAAATACGGGCCTTTATAAGAAGGTTTAAGTTTCTTTTCTTCTCCTGGCTTAGTAACAGTGTTTCTAATGAGTACATAATCCCCTTGGTTATACACGGAGGGTTTCTTGTGACGTTCATCGTAGTACGCTTTGTTATAATTTTTAATACTTTCGGCCGCTTGTAATGCTAATTCTCGACTATCTTCTCGCTCGGCCTCAAAATCTAGATCTGTTTTTGCTAGATCTTTTAAAAATCTAATTAATTCCGCATCAGGGTGGTTACGCAAATCGTATCCTAATAATATTTTGGACGGAGTCGCTTTAAGCGCAGTATGATACGTATTATTAATGGTATATTGTACGGCATCTACATGGTTATCCCAATTTTGTAGGTCTTCGCCTATCCTACAAAGTGATGACTTGAGAAACCTATTTACTCGCTCCACCAGACCATTAGCCCATGGTGCTGCTACGGCTACCAATCTATGGGAAACGTTTCTTTGCTGTACGAATGAAGCGAATTCTCGTGAGGTAAACGCGGTTCCTCGATCCGAAACAATTGTTTGCGGATTGCCAAAAGTGTTGAAAATATCGGTTAGGTGTTTGATGGCTTCTTTAGAGCCTGTCGACTTAGTTGCAAATAACCAAGTGAAACGAGAAAAAGCGTCAATAACTAGGAAAATATGTTTAAATCCGTCTTCCGTTTGATTCAACGGTCCAAAATGATCGATATGTATGATTTCCAGAGGAAGGGTAGGATTATTCGTGATTTGAAGTTCACCTTCTCTTGCATTAGAGGATGTGTTAGCTAAAAG